CACCTGGCCTTTCTTATGAGGCCTGTGGTTCAAAGCCAAAGCCACTACTATGCTCTTATTGATGCTCAGTGAAATGTATCTAAAGCATGTTTGTCCTACTCTTCAGAAGAATCCCAACTTTCTTTAATGAACTAACCATAGGTGTCCCGGAGTAGTTCATATCTAAAAACAAGATTTAAAATGTGAAAGAAGGAAAAGGTTGAGGAGAAATGCATGTATGTGAGTGTGTGTTTGTGCATATATATGGAAGGATCAGTACTTAGAGGCGAGTTGTTCTTACAATTGTACTGTCGAAGGCTTTCATGGCTGGAATCACTGGGTTGTTGTAGGTTTTCCGGGCTATATGGCCATGTTCTAGAGGCATTTTCTCCTCTAGAGAAAATGTCTCTAGAACATGGCCATATAGCCCAGAAAACCTACAACAACCCTGTTCTTAAAATTATCCTATGCCCTTTTATTGTATTTGGTACCACTTTGGTTTTTTGCTATTTAAAACATCTACTAACTGCCCTTCCCATTTTTAAGATAAATAGATGTGTGCTTTTTGCCATTTGAATTGGAGTCACTTAGCATTACTAGAGAATAAGAAATTGTAAATTATCTTTGGATGTAAGATGCTTATTTAACATAGTTTAATCCTAAATTACTATGTAAGAGTGCCATCATACACATGTTTACTCAAAAGTAAGTGTCATTAAGTTCTGCGGGAGTTTGCTGACAAATAAATCGGCATAGGGTTACATCCCAAAGCTGCAAGCAAATATTTTTCCAATCAGGCATAAAAGTCTATGAGCTCAGTGGGATTTAGTCTCATATCATTGTGCATAGTATTGCTGCCCAAAGTTAAAAATCAAAATTGCTGCCAAGATATTTTTGTTCTTTTACTCCAATAATATTTTGTTTAATAGAAAAGCATGTAGCTAGATATTATCACATAATAGTGACTCACTGTCTCATTTATGAAATTGTTTTCTGTAATTATTTGCATCTTAGGAGAGATTATCTTCCCACGGTGATATGTTAGTCTGTTATATCCTTTTGCTTAAGAGCAAGTTCTGTGTAATATATTTCCCTTTAATAATTGTAGCAACAGTCCATTCCAATAATAAAGTTGTCACATTGAACCTGTAATGGACCACTTCGCATTGTTGGAACTGTTCTTTTATTGCAACTGTTTGTAACTTTATGAGCCTTTAATAAATGTGATCCATTGCAATAATAAAGCTTTTGGACAGCTGCTACAACTTGCTGTTTCTAACCCCAACCTTGAAAGTTACAATGACATTGATCATTAATACTATTTGAGTAATAAAATTTAATACAATTAAATACAATGCTGTTTCTTTTTATCCCAGCTATATGGTAGGTCACCCTATCAACATAAGTTTTATATTAATCTGTGAGTATTTGCTGTATACCCTGACAGACAAAATGGATGGTTGCTTTAGCATGGGATTGTAGTGCCCTTAAATCTCATAATAGGACTTGTAGCACTAAGCATTTGTTTTCCCAAGTTGGACAACCAGTCAAAGCATAGCCAAGAGATGGCTTACCAATCAGCTCCCATGAGACCAGTGTACCTGATAGTGCTAATGATCCTTCATTCCAGAAGGGTTGATATACAGCCAGAAAAGTTTTAAAAGCTGGAGTTGTGCCGATCAGAAATGCCTGGGAAAGCACAGTGCCTGAAAAAAATTCTATGCTGAGAAAGTTTAGATATGTTTTTTTCACAAACAAATCCAGCAATGAACCACTTATACAAGTTTTACTTAGTGTCTATAAACAAAGGTGCTAGAAATTGTATTTTTTGTCTAGTTAACATTGTCAGACAGGTCAAGTGTTCGAGACAGAGACTTGCTGTCTGCCCCACCTTTACTGGCAGAAATACTTGTATGTTTTGTACGTTTTCTAAAATAAAGATTTTTCTCCTTGTAAGGAAACCTATATCTGATTTGATCTTATCACTTCCTGAGTATCTCAAAAACCTGGAGGCCATCTGCCAGGGTGAATACTTGCTAAATTCAGCCTTAATATTGATAACCAAATTTTTAAAATCAATATCAATATGTATATGTGTTTTATTTTATTGTATGTTATACTGTGCTTCATTCAGCTCCTTCAGTGCCCGTTCTACAGGGATATCCGTGCCAGGCTTATCTTACCTCTGATAGACAAGCACCCAGGCCATTCAGGACAATTTTATACCTCCTTGCTACTTGCAGATACTAATTCAGCTACAACCTACAATGTCGCAAAGTTCTGTGCAGCAGCATACAAAATCCGCCAGGGAATGACTAGTTCCAAAAGTCAACTGTGTGTCCAGTAATCTTCTTCCCTGAATCTACAATTTGGTGATGGATCTGGGCATTGCATGTTTTTACCCTGTTCCCCCTTCTGCTCCCTCACCCATATTGTGCTTTTAGTAGTTATATTTATATTTTTATATTTTTAATGTACCAAACATGCCAGGTTTGTCTGGAAATGTGACACTATTTCCTGTGCTGGTCAATGACCGAAATAAATATTTTGACTTTACTGTGCTTCATTATGTTGTTTTTAGGCACTTTGTGCCATCTGTAAGCCATCCTGAGTCCCTTTGGGGAGATGGTTTTATTTATTTATTTATTTATTTATTTATTTATTTATTTATTGTACCAGGAGCAAACCAAGACTACAGTTGGCTTTTATAAAAAAAAAACCCTGCAAAGTTTAAAACTTGGCATCATATTAAATGTCCTTTGACCAGTAGCCTGCCACTTGGAGTGTCTCTGGTGTTGCTATAAGAAGGTCCTCCATTGTGCATGTGGCAAGGCTCACACTGTATTGTAATAGGTGGTCTGTGGTTCTTTTCTCCACACTCGCATGTCGTGGACTCCACTTTATGTCCTCATTTCTTAAGGTTGGCTCTGCATCTCATGGTGCCAGAGCGCAGTCTGGGGAGATGGTGGCAGGATATTAGAATAAAGTTGTTGTTGTTGTTGTTGTTATGATGGGTGGTGCATCTTTAGTTGTGCTTCTTTCTGAATCTTTCCAATTCAAGTCATGAGCAGTTGATTTGCAGTTTGATGAGGCACAAGCACTCTTTGGCAAAGAAGGCTAAATGCCTGCTCCTAGGATTCCATAGTCCTGAATCATGGCAGTTCAAGTGGTGTCAAATTGCATTAATTATACAGTTTAGATGTGCCCTCAGTGGTACTAACTTGTAATTATTACCATTAATCCGATGCCAAGATACTTACTTTTAAGATACTCTATACATCTTACTCTATACTATTTGAATCCCCATATTTCCCTATATTAACCTGCCAGAGTTTTAAGATCAGCTGGGGAGAGCTTTCTTTTGGTCCTYCCATCAWRACAACCTCACTTGCCACTTCATCACACTGGGGCTTTTTACCCCTTTGAAGCACTTTGGGGAAGGGTCTGCCAAATGCCATCACATGACGTTCAGCAGGCCCTACCCCAGTACCCCCCCCCCCCAGTGCTGAGGAAGTGTTGCAAAACATTTCCTCAGTAACAACAGAGAGGTAAGTGGGTTTGGGGCAGCTCCGACAGAGCTACTCACATTTCTGGGCTCTTTCCCCTTTGTGATGGGGGAAAGGGCAATGTGGCAATATGCATTGTCATCCTTTCTCCCATATGATGGGGACAAGGACAGGGCACCAACATGTCTTGTCCTGTCCCTCACATATGATGGGGGAAGGAGGGAGGGTGCAAGGGGTGCCATGAGTCGCCCCTGGCAACTGCTGGTGAAACTGTATTCCCCCCCCCCCCCATGTGTGAAGAGTTCGTGAGCACATGAAAGAAAACCTTCTCCATGTTTGTTCTTACCATCTAGATGCCCTTCCATGGGGTGCTAAGCCAACTCCTTATTCTTATTTTGCTAGCAGGCAAAAGCCTTTTCATTTAAGCAAGGGCATGCATTTTTAAAAATTTTGTATGCCTTTGATGTGATGACTTTTGATGATTTGATACTTTTCAATGTGATGATTTTAATTGTCTTTAAATTTTTAGTCTTAGGTTTTAGATGACTCTGTGGGCCACCTTCTCTTTTTATGGAGAAAGGCAACAATTAAACAAGACAATTTCTTCTGCTTGGTCATTTCCTGAAATGACTACTGTAACCTTCTTCTAACTGATCTATCATTATCTCATCATGCCTAAAGATTTCCCTTCAACCTTTTGCTGTTAAGATTATTTTTTGACCCATCGTTTTGATCATGTTAATCCACTTTTGATATTACTTAATTGGCTGCATGTTCCTTTTAGGCTTCAGTACAAGCTTTTGGTTTTAACTTTTAAAGCCATATGTGACATAGCTTCCCCACATGTTTCACATGTCATTTCTTTTTACATGCTTGCTCAGGATTTATGTTCTAAGAACTTAGGCTTCACATTCAACCAAGGGTTTCCTCTTCCTTGGCTGGTCTTCTTCCTTCCTCACTTGCCCATGTATACCCCTGGAAATGCCTCCCTGAGAATTTATGGACTGCTCCTTCCCTCATTATTTTGAAATCTCAGTTTGATGCTGGAAATTTGAGGTTTTTCTAAGCTCCATGGAAACTGAGAGATGCCTGACAAGCTAAACACAGATGTTCCGGGTCGAGAATTAAGTACCTTACCAGGATGAAGGCAAATTAAACAGACTTTATTCAATCTGTGCCAGGCATGTAGCCGGGGGGAGGGGGGGGGCTTGAGGGGCTTCAGCCTCCCCCCCCCCCGAAATTCTCAGGGTGATCCGCGAGAAGGCCTTACTGGTACATTATTTAAACTGTTATGTTTATTCATCTCATGATCTGATCACCATGCTCAATATATCCCATATGCATGGGGCTATTGGGATAACAATACAAAAGGTTTGCTAGGGTAAATTCTCAGCCCCCCCTCTTGAATTAAACTCAGCACCCCCCGAATCAAAATCCTGGCTATGGGCCTGATCTGTGCAGAAGGGACACTTGAACAGCAATGAGGGCTCAGAAGGTACAAGTGTAAAAGCATAATCATAAGCAGGCATTTTTATACAAAAGGATTCCATGCATTAACATTGCTATATTTAAAAACTTCCTCCCGTCCCCCAATTGGCCAGCGCTGAGAAGCCGGCCAGGCATCTGATTGGCCAGGAGCTGGGTTGTATCCTGATTGGTGAAGGCAGCGATGATGCAGCCGGGGATTTCCTTCCAGCTGGGCAGGTAGGCCTTAGGGCTTCCAATGAGCCAGCAGAGGTGGTCCTGGGAGCGAAGACATTTCCAGGGGCTGTGTCAATCCCTGTGTGTGAAGTAATGGAATGCTGAAGACAAAAAAGTTTGAAAAGATGATTGATAGGATTATGTAGATATGAGGTACTGAATAAAAAGAAAATGAGTGCCGGTTCTCTAGACATCTTCTCATGCTGAGAAGACAAAGGAAGGGTCCCAGAAATGTCTATTGGTGATGGGACTACAATCAAAGTTTCCTCTTGGACTTTTGTCTTGAGGATAGCCGAGATCCCCAAAAGGGAAGTTTGGGTCGCTCCTGCTGTTATCCAGGAAGATTCTTTGTTTTGCAGAATATGTTCAATCTCTGGTTCTCACAAGGGGCTGGAAGGGGTATCTGGAATTGTATGAAAGGTTACTTCAGTTCACGAGTTCATGTACATTTGCCTTCTATTTCGTATAGTTTAATTATTATTGTTGTTGTTATTGCAATATTATTAAATGTAATAAAAATCTTGTTTTTCAAATAATAATAATAATAATAATAATAATAATAATAATAAATATACAAATCAAAAAGATATTTCATGTGGTGTCTGTGATCTATGTTTCTAGGAGGTAAAGAGGTCACATATGGCCATCTGGGAGGTCACATATGGCCATCGCTGAAGGTTGGATGGAAAGGGTTTTTTGCCTTATTTGTTTAATTCATATCCCTCTGCACATGTGCATATTCACATAGAAGAAAGAGAAAAAGAAATATAGAAAGATACTTTGTAAGAGAGGGTCTAGAGATGGAAGTGTTTGACATATTATAGCAGTTTGGATGGTAACTTAGCTGGGGAGAATGAGGCCATGAAGTAATCTACAGCGAAGCTCCGGTGATTTGCTGCTGCGGACTGGCTCAGGTTGAACAGCTGAGCTGGGGATGTGTGTGGGTGCATGTGTGTTCAGGGATCATGGAGTTGGGGTGACTGCTGGTCCTGGGCGACTTGAGGGAGGCTGCAGTGATGATGACCATTCCTATTCATCTCACCATCTGTCCTTGGGAAACTATAACTCCCGTGGGAACCAAACTATGTCCCTCTTTTATTAGGGGTGGGGCTAAGGCATTTGATAACAAATTGCTAACCTTCTTGTTTTCCAAAGCTTTTGGAGTTTTAGTCGATATTGTTTTATTCCTTTCTGTATTTTGATATACTGATTTGTCACTTTGATTTATTTATAGTGTATCTTTTTTTTTGCATTATATCTAGATAATCAGTTTTGTAATTGCATTACTTTGTCCTTCCCGTGTGTATGTATGTACGTATATTTTAGATTGTATGGCTTTGGTCACGTTGTCTATTTTTTGTTGTTTTACTTACAAAGCATCATGTACTTTGATGGCACTATATAAATAAATGATGATGCATTATATAAATAACACATAAATAATAAATGTTTGTTTTGGTTACTTCGCCTGCATTAGTTTTTCATGCCTCTGGTTTGTTTGTCCAACCTAATGGCTTTGCTGTTCATTATATTTCATTTGTGGCATATTTTAAAAATATATACTTCATGTTGCATGTTGCCTTAGTTTCTGTTAGAGTGCATGGTGACTGGAACTGCTTTTTAAAAATAAAAATGCATAATTTATAAAGCTGGGAAAAATTACTCTTTTGGACATCAACTCCCAGAATCCAACAGCTAACATGGGCAGTAGAGATGTGTGCGGTACCCATTTCTTCCATTTCATCCATTCTTTCATTTCAGGAAGGAGCATGAAACGGAAACTCCTTCCCTTGGAACTAAAATAAGCTCAAAATGAAAGAAATTGGGAGTGGGTACTGTTTCCTTGCCTGCTTTTCAGCCTACGTGGCACTTTTCACATGGGACGTGTGCTATTTCACTCTGAACTCTGCCTGTTGGTCCCTTCCTATCAGAGAAGAATGCCATCTACCTCACTTGCTGTCTGCCATGCCTCACCCGCCACTGCTTTTCTCCTCTGCAGACTGAGGGGAAAGCATCGCAGGAGGAATGGTATCTTAAGCCCTGTCTTTAAACCCAGTTCTCTTTTGCAGATGGAAGGGAAAGCATCATAGAAATAGGGGCTGGGCACTGGGCTGTGTGCGTGGTGTGTGGAACATCTTTGACATTTGGCAGGAAGGAATGATGTCCTGCCTTGCCTCCTTCCTGCTGCTGCTCCTGGAGAAGTTAGATAGTGGGGCCAGCGGGGGGAAAGAGGGAATGTTTTTAAGGAGATTTTATTTATAGGAAGAAAAAAAATCCCTAAAAGTCTGGAATGACCCAAACATTATAGAACTTGGTGGGCTAAAAGTGGTAGATGTGCACTCCATGTGGGGTGATTGTTACCCCTCTAGTCCTAAAACTGACAGGATGGGGAGCCTTGGGAAGCCCACCCATAGTGGTCAATGGGTTCAAGATGTTCATTTTTTGGATGTGGAATGAAAATAACCATTCAGAAAGGCACCCATTTTTGGGAGGCACATGAAAACAAAAACAGGAGCTTATGAATGAAACAAACAGAAACAGCAATTCTATACAAATGCACAAGACTAATAGGTAGCATGTGTAGTATTTGGTGTATTCACTTCCTTACTTCAATCAAAATTTATCTCTTTACTTCATATGTGGAAAAGATCAAATTTGTGTATGACGTTACAAGCTATCTGTGACTTCTTCTTGTATTTCAACAGAATAAATGAATCAGTTCAGTTTATTGGAATGAACAAAGCAATATTTAAACATGACTTCTCAGGGAATGCACTAGAATACACACACAGCTTTAAATAATGGCTAGTAGCCATTGGCATAGTAATATGTATGGAAACAAATATCCCATGTACTACCACATGAAGGATGGGAAGCTATTTTTTTTTATTACAGTGAAGTTTACTCTGAGCCTTTGGCATAGTGTCAGCCATAAAAGTAGCCATCTATTGCTTATTAACTAAACCATTCAACATCACTGCTAGGTAATTAGATTTTAGTTTGCAAACAAGGAGTGTATGCAGCTCTTAAAAGTAATTTCTTCATTAGAATACCATATAAAGCTTGAACAAAGCTTTCAGGACATCTTTGCTGAAGCTTGGAGAGTCAAGGAAAAGACATATCACAAGATATATTATTGTACCTAGATGTGATAGTCATTAGGCAAGTAGTGAGCATTGAAAATGTATATTTTGCAGGTATGAATAGATGTGCATGTGCATGAAGAGGGCAGTAGGTTGCATGCATATAAGACAAGCCATGCTGAATTGGACTACAGGCATTTCTAGTCTAGTCTTCTATTTTACACAGTGACCAAAGAGATACCTATGGAAAATGCTCAAGCAAAACATGAATTTGCAATCTAGGGCACAGGCACCCTCTATCTAGCCCCCTTCAAATGGTTTGGATTATAGTTTCACTTGGTACATGAAAGTGTGGCTAATGTTCAAAGATCATAAGAATAGTACTAGAAAATATCTGTTAGCTCATGCAGATTATGGTTATGTTTTTGCTGTTTGAAACACATAGTTGTTTTTGTTTGGTATAGAGTCCCATTGTATTCACTGAGATGACAAGCCCTCTCATATGCATGTTTCTCTTTGTGTATGTGCCCTCAAGTAGTTTGTCAACTTATGGTGACCCCATATTTTTCATAGGATTTTCTTAGGCAAGGAACATACACAGATGGATTTGCCCATTTCTTCCTCTGAAATTATGCCCACAATACCTAGTATTTGTTGGTGGCTTCCCACCCAGGTATTAACCATTTGGCTTCTAAGATCAGACTGGACCAGGTACCTTTAAGATGTTCAGGTCCTACTTAACTCCAAATAAATTCAAGGAATTTACAGTTATGCATGAATAAAACTGCACTCTTGATTATGGAAATGTGTGGGATGATAGCTTCCCTTCTATGTCAAGAAGGTTAGCATCAATCAAGTGACCAGTGAATACTGGATTATATTAGAATGTAATGAGAAAATACTATCTAGAAAAGATGGACCAAGAGATTACTTAGTGCGCCTTTCTCAGGAAATGATCCTGACAAGCAGATAGGATAGCTGGCAGCACTTGCATTAATTGGGCCCTTAGCAATTAAAGCTAGGATAATGTTTAAAATGTTATGAATGACAGTTTAGTATGCCTTGACTGTCAAAAAAATTTATTGAGGAAACTGTGTGTTAATATTTATCGTAGCAATTTTACTCTGTAATAAGATACTAATTGCTAAGATTTCTATGGGGACTTGGAGAGTTTGGCTTCCAAAATGGTCAGCAGCTATTTTCAATACAAAAAGAACGGAAACTAAGAAATCTATCCACAGAACAAGTGCAATGTGGTGGCTTGAGTATTGTACTAGGACCCTGGGGAACCTAGAGTCCTAGTACAATCCCAATTCTCTCAGCTTCAGAGGCAAGCTCCCACTGAATAAATATTGCCAAGAAAAGCCTTTGATGGGGTTGCCTTAAGTTGATTTCCTCCCAAATTAAATATTGCATGGAGTGTATGTGCAATCTACTCAAAGCCAGTATTGGAGAATTCAAGGAAAGGCAACTCTTGTTTTTTTTTTCTTACTCAGAAAAAAGAGTGCATGCAATTATAAGACTGTACTATAGGGGAGGCTTTTCTTAAGGCATGTTCAAGGAGGAAGGTTCCTCCCTTGTTCTGATGACAGGATGATTAGTCCTATCAAGCCAGTTTCTGCAGAGTTCTTTCTTTTCATGTTCAAAGTGGGGGAAACGTCTGCGAAAGTGTTTCACATGGATGCACGCCCCTGTTGACTTTGCAAGCTTATACTCATGAAATGCATGCAATGGTGGGTTTTTTTAAAGGATTCCCTATGTGTGCATATAGTTAAAAATATTATTTTTTTCTTCTACCATGCAATTCATTTGAAGACTAGAAATAGTCCTAGGGAGACTTACTTATTTAGACGATCCCTCGTTTTGCGAGGAGGATTGTCTTCCAATATTTTTGTGGGTCCGTATGTGGCTGTGGAGCCCTATTCTTTCTCTGCATCTTCTTCCGCAGTGAGGGCATTGGTTTCCAGGTGCAAGGTGGTCAGGGTTGGCTTGGCGCGCCTTCCTCTTGGCACGCTTCTCCCTTTTTCCCTCCATTCTGCAGCACTGCTGGTCACAGCTGACCTCCAGCTGGAGTGGTCAAGGGCCAGGGCTTCCCAGTTCTCAGTGTCTATGCCAGAGTTTTTAAGGTTGGCTTTGAACCCATCTTTAAATCTCTTTTCCTATCCACCAACATTCCGTTTTCCATTCTTGAGTTCAGAGTAGAGCAACTGCTTTGGGAGACAGTAGTCAGGCATCCGGACAACGTGGCCGGTCCAGCGGAGTTGTTGGCGGAGCACCATCGCTTCAATACTGGTGGTTTTTGCTTCTTCCAGCACGCTGA